TTCCCCATGTCCTCCCACTCTCCCCCCACCTCCATCAAAGAATTCCTAAACTTATTTTTGTGCACTGTTCAGTGGGATCTATCAAGATTCTACTCTTCCACTTCACGATTTAAAAATAAGAATAAAAAATCCTGGGCACTAAGCGAGCAGGGGAAAATTGTAAGTGCATACTTAAATCCTGACTAAACTTTAAATAATTTCTCAGCTCCAGAAACTCCAAGACTTACAAAAGCTATTTTCTAGTTAATGGCCACCAGAGAATTTAAAAAAAAAATATATATATATATATATATATATATATATTTTGCTATTTTTAACATAATATCTGTTTTGCTATTGCAACAATAAAATTTTCTTTAGAAATTCAACTGGCTTCCTAAGGCATGAGATGAAGTTTCTCACACATACATACACGGGTCAGAGAAAATACCAGATTAGCAAAGCATAAAGTTTAGACGCAGAATAAATTGAAAGGAAAAAAAAAAGTTCCTTATGTGGTTTTAGTCTTGTCAGTATGGGCAATTCCCTCATTTTATCAGTTACCAGATTTTAATGTGAGAAAGGAAGCTGTTCAATTATCTAAATATACCAATTGTTCGTAGACCGCTGATGGGCAATTTGATCTGCTCTAATTCATCAGCTCCGATAAGATAAGAAAGAAAAGACAGTCGGATGTCACCAAAGGGTTAATATTTGAAAAGATTAAATTTCCGGTCTTTTTGCAGGGGATATTCGGGTTGGTTTTTAAATTTTCCAGGTAGAAACTCTTAGCCTAAAAGTAAAAGGCTATTTTCTCCTTCAAAAACGCACGTTTGGGTCAAACTTTTATTTCGCCCATTCCATCGACATCTCCAGATAATTTGTTAAGGTACTAGGGAAACACCGAACTACAGTAAATCTATAGAAAAGGCACACACTGCGTGATACGACAAAAACCAGCCTTTTTAAAATTCAAGAAACCCCCAATTATCCATCTGTAAAATGTCTTGTTTGTTTGTTTTGGAAGAGGGAGGGTCACAAAGAAAAACAATCTGAGCACCACAGATTCCAGGAGCAAGGAAACAAGCTTCGGTAACCACACGATTTACGAAAACCACCATCAAATATTGCAGGGTGTTTTTTTTTGGTGGTGGTTTTTTCTCCCCCCCTCTCTCTAAAAAGTGAGATAAACAGCATAGTTTAATTTATGGAATAGGCGTCAGGGTCAACTTCTGCTTGCCAGACCCCACTCGGGCAAACTTGGCAAAAAGGCAGAGTCCCACCAAATCATAAAGGAGGCGCGGGAGAGCCAGGGCCGCCCGCAGGAGGAGGGAAGCGGCAGGTGAGGCCGTACCTGATATAGTCTCTCTTACAGTAGGTTTTCCCATCCCGCACAAAGCACGTACAGCTCTCGTCCAAATACTGATTACACTCCGCGCATTTCAAACACGCCGCGTGCCATTCCAAATCCGGAGAAACCCGCAGAATGTACTGGTCGTGGATTTGATTGCCGCAACCAACACATAGGGAAATCAGACGTTTTTCTGAAATGAAAATAAATACATGATTGACTCACCGTTTACTTCCTACAGAGATAAACACACTTTTAGTGTCGTTCTCTTACGGGGCGTACTCTGGGAGGTTTCTCTCTCTCCCCCCCCCCCTTTTCTTCTCTCTTTTTCCTTAAAGAGTATTGCACTTTGGAATGGTAATTGAAGTGTGCCATCAAAACCCTGACTCACTGCAAAAAAGGAGGTGGAATATATGTAAAATGCAGATTTGAACAGTCGACATTTGTAAGCCTAGCACACAATCAAGCCCGTGCACTTTTGTATTTTCTTTTATCCCTCCCTCCGCCTCTCCGCCGTGTAACCGCCGGCAAAGACGTGGATAAGTCAAGTCAAAGAAAAGGTTTTGACTAGCGGCGCCGGGTGAACGCGGGGATGCCTGTTTTCCACGAGGCACGCTCTCCAACGGTACCTAGGGCTGGATATCGTTAGCACGAGCACACATCAACACAGTTGTCACTCGCTCTGCTTTGCAAGTCTAATGCTACTTCCCACCGCCGGGTATTGTACGTGCAGGCAGCCCTTTGCAACACTGTATCCTTCTCGGAGAGCTCGGGATTCCCGGGGAGGAAACCACCCCTGGGCAGCCGCGGGCCGGGGCTTCGCAGGGCGCACAGGCGAATTCAAACGCAAGGTACGACCAGTTTCCCGAGGACCAGAACCCACGGCAAAGCATGCAGGCGTGGCGGCGGCAGCAAAGGCCACCTTCCCGGTCCCCTCTCTCTCTCCTCTCTCTCTCTCTCTGTCTCTGTCTCTCCAGGCAATGGCTCCAACTCCGAAGAGCCCTGGGCACCCGTGCCTGAGAGCGACCCCCGCGCAGACCAGCACACCGAGCGAGCCCCACAAGGTAAAAGAGCCTCTTACTTTTTGGTGGATCTCCCATGTCTCCCATATCGGTAAGAGGGAGTAATGTCCACAGTGAAATGGTGGTTGTACGGTTGGTGAACAGCCCACAGGCAGGATGCTGGAGCTGTGGCCTGAGT